AGTTCCTCGTGAGGAGGAACAGCAGATATGGCTGGAAAATGGCAGCGCCCAAACCCCACAACACAGTCCTGTGGAAGCTCTCATGCAGAGCTGCAAAATAGCAGCAGTGCGATCTTCAACTTAGTTTCCCAACCCCGCAGAGAATCCTTCCCCCTCGACAAAACAAACTCCAAATGGGGCCTATGGCTGGAAAAAGGAGTATGGCAAATCCGACACCTGTGGAACGAAGCGAACAACAGATGGAATACTGTGGGAGAACTAAGAACGAAACTCAAAGGAAACCACAACCTACATTCCAACTTATCTCTCATCATAGACGCCATCCCCATAGAATGGAGGAAGCTATTGAAAAATAAGCAACAATGGCTTTGGGGAGACTGGGCTTCAACAACAGACCAAGAGCAACCCCAAGAGGTACTAGAAATAATAAAACCAGAACTTCATCATAACAAATGGATCGAATGCTCCATCTTTACACTAGAAGAGCCTGGTAACCCTGCCTGCAATCAGACTCGCTTTCATTCACACTTTTCATGCATGCAAACAGTAGCGCAGCAAACTGGCGACATGCGCCCACTCATTACTCAGAGATATGGCAACCCAGATACGAGTTCACTCCCAATGGCTATGGCGTCACAGCGCCCATACAACTCTCTGTTCGCATACAACGGATCACCCTGGATATCCCACACGCGTCTCCCTGACCACTCACACCCACACACGCTGAACACTAACTACAGCTATGGCGGCCATGGCCGCTGCTAACCTATCGCTATGGCTAAGCTTCGTCTCTCTGCCCACTTCGTCTTCGGGCTTCACTCCAGACTACCTCACACAAGTCGCTGTGGCAGCGCTTCCGCAAGGCTCACGCAGGAATGAATGAATGGCTGGGCGCTGCCTCTTGATTTATACTTCTGTAGCTCGGTCTGGCTCCTTCCCTTGCTCGAAGTGCACACAGTCCCATGCGGTACTTGCTTGACTGGACCAGGACTGCCTAGGACTGGGACTGCTGACTCCGCATGGGCAGACTCCACCACTTGCCTCACCACTTGCCCACTTGCCTCAGTCTAAGCGTGGGACACTCCGAAAGGCCACTACTCAGACCTTCCGGAAGGCCGTGGATTGGCCTTTCGGTACTGTAGCAGCTACGACTTTGACCCTTCTGGACTGTAGCAGCTACGACCCTGACTCTTCGAGAAGACTACAGCTACTACCTCTAGACTTGACTGAGACTCATATCCGACAGGTCTACAGATCGAACCCATGCTACCTATGGACCCTATGACAACCTATCAACTGTTGAGAATACACAGGTCGTGGGTTCAACTCCAGGGGTCGACACAGGTACTGTACTCAGGTAACGAGGGGGACTAGGGATCGAGCCCTGGGATCTGCATCAGCTACTGCGAACTGGTGAATACCGTTTCATGCCAGCCTTATTTCCAAAGACCCTAGAGCAGAAGCCACCTTCAGAATAGGCAGACTCAGAAGAATCAGAATCATAGATGGTGAAAGAAACAGAGCATACAAGCCGGATACAGAAATACAATGGCTAGAAATAGACCCCTCAGAATGGTCATGGAACACCCCCAGTAGACTCTCTCCTGTAGCAAGGAGACATGCCTTAACAGACTACACACCCAGAGTAGGATATTTACTATACAACAAACCTCAATCAATTTCAACAATAATTGAAAAAAGATGGGAAAAACATGAGAGTACACTCGATGGAACAAGCGTACACCCCCACTGGCCCACAATCTTTGGCACTAGACAAGTCAAACTGGCAAGCCTCCTCTGGCTCATAGCATTCAGAGCAGTTCCAGTAAACCAATGGCTAGCCCAGAGAAGAAGTAAGGACAGCTGAACAGAACAGTCAATCTGGTGCAAGGTATGTAATAAACAAATCGAGGAATCGCTCAATCATTGCTTCATAGATTGTGAAGCATGCAAAACAGCTGTGGATCAGTGCTGGGCCGGCAACCGGCCGGTCGAGTTACCCCGGTCCAACCGGAGCCGGAACAGCCCAGGGGGGGTTGAACCGGGAAACCGGTTTTGAAAAACAAAGTGCCCAAATATCCTTTTTCTTTTGGCAGATTCCGACTGTGCTCTTCGAGAGCTGTCAGAATCCGCAATAAAACTTTGAAGGTGCAATTTTTTCCGGGGGCTTCCAGAGGGGGGCAGGGGGTTATTATTGACATATTCAGGCAACTATGGCTTCCACGGGGAGGGGTCAAGTAAGCAAGTTCACTTATCTGACCCCCCCGTGGCTGGCGCATTTCGTGGAGTAGGTCATGTGATAATGATACCCCACGAGCTGAACCACATACGATGAAAGGAGGTCCTTGCCAGAACTTATAGCTCTTCCAGAGTGTAGCTCGACAGCAGAAGAGTTATGGGTCCTGCTTTCAGCTCGTGGGGGCAGAGTGTTTCCTGTTTGTTCTTTTCTACATAAGGTGAGTTATCAGTATGGAAGTATCTTGCCTGGCAGTCTGTCCACATACATGCAGTGGAGCAAGGTCCATTCCAGATAGATAGAGAGAAGAACCCAGACCTCGGACGGCTCTGACATCACGATTCCAAAATCCGAACCCATAACTTTTTCCACATATGGCAGGGATGTCGCATGAGGATATAATCTCAGCAGAGCCTCATCACGAGCGTAGTGTTCACCTTGTGGCTGAGGGTGAACAAACATCAGATGCTACCAACGGTAACTGGTCTTTTGGACCACAAGAGGACGAATTGGAGAAGTGGCGTACCCGACCCCCACACATCTTAGGAAAAATGTGTGGCGGTTCTCCGCTGCTGATCTGCAAAGATCAGCAGCGGATATCCTCCGCCCGTTTTTCTTAAGAAACGAGGTCCAGGATGCCCCAATTTTTTTTTTCCACCGACGCAGGGGCCTCCTTGGGGCTGGGCAATCGCAGGGATGCCCGTGACTTCCTAGTACCCCCCCCCTGGTGCAATGCGCTGGACTCAACCAGGAGTCTGCCGGCCCAGTCAACACGCCGGTCCGACCGGCAGGTTCCCAGTCGGGGGGAGGGGCTCCCGGTTCAACCGGGGACCACCCCTGCTGTGGATAGACATAGAACTATCATGGAATACATTATCCAACAGAAACATAGGGGCTCGTTAGACACTCCTCGGGCACGTAAATCCCCTAAGGAAAATTTCGTTCCACCTATCCTCGGTGTGAGGATTGAGCCCTCAAGAAGGGGCCTTGGCATGATGTACATGTTCTGGGCTAAGGCCCCAGCAAGCCTTGTGCCCGCCCTAAGTGAAGGCGGGCCAGTAAATCAACAAGAGCCCTCTGTGCAAACATTTCACGAAGTGGGGTCCATACAGTTGCAGCACGCCAGTTGGTTGGAGTGCACCTAGTCTCGGATCTCTGCAAATGCAGAAATCCCAGGGCCCCTGAGTAAGTTAGGCCCTGGGCACATAAACGTGAGGCCGACAATGCATGCTGGATATAGAGGCCGAAAATGCCAATGGGAAACCGGTCCACTATCTGAATCTGGACGCAGGCCTTGATGAAAGAGGCGCAATTGCATCTCCTGGGCCCCAACCACATTGGGCCTGGGTACAGGTACTGGGGCCCAGTCGCAGGCTCAACGGAGGCCGCCCACACGCAACACTGGCATATAGGTAGGGAGTGCGGGTGGGCAGGGATCTTGGCCATTGCGGGCAATGCCGTCACGCTGCGCATTTGTGAGCTGCTGAGCTGCGCTAGGCTGAGGTGAGGCAGGCAAGCGCTACGTGGTAGAGCGTTGCCTGGGCGCAGGGCGCTGGCGGCCATAGTCGGGCTGCCTGTGGGCGCAGAGGAGGAAGGGCGAAGGTGGTTCTTCGGAGGTGAAGGGCGCTGTGTGGGATAACAAGGGACAGTGAGGGAGAAGAGTGAGACGTACCTGGTGGAGAGGGAGGTCGGCATTGGTGTTGACATCATCACTCGCTGGTACAGGTATAATAGATACCTATGGCTGCTTGTGTGCATCAGCGTTCTATAATTATTACAAACAGAACCAAGAGGAGGGTATGTACGTAGTGTATGTCTCTAAGAAAGGGGAGGTCGTTAAAACACCCCCAGAGATAGAACACGTCGTGGCTAAGTTCCCTGATCTGTTCGCGGAGCCTATAAGAGTCGTAGAAAGGGAGGTTGTCCACGCCATAGAAATCATTCCAGGGAGTAAAACCCCAAAGGGAAGGATCTATAGGATGGCTCCAGCTGAGTTGGATGAACTTCGGCGACAACTGAAAGAGCTGACAGAAAAGGGATGGATCCGGCCAAGTACTTCCCCCTACGGATCTCCAGTGCTATTTGTACCGAAGAAGGGGGGTACATTGAGGATGTGCATTGACTATAAAGGCCTCAATGCCATCACAGTGAAGAATGCAGAGCCTCTACCTCGCATAGACGACCTATTGGATAGGGTGCAGGGATGCAAGTACTATAGCAAGATAGATTTAAAATCCAGCTACCATCAGATCGCAATAAGACCTGAGGATCAGCACAAGACTGCATTTCAGGCCAGATATGGTCTTTATGAGTTTGTTGTGATGCCCTTTGGCCTTTGTAGGCCGGGTACATTCCAGCACGCCATGAATAGGATCTTCCATGACCACTTAGATAAGATTGTTGTTGTTTATCTCGACGATATTCTGATCTTTAGTAAGTCAGCCGAGGAGCATGCGCAACATGTTGAGACTGTATTACCTCTCCTACGACAGCAAAAGTATAAGGTTAACCTAGAGAAGTGTGAGTTTGGATGCACTAAGATCTTATACTTGGGTCATGAAGTATCCGCGGAAGGTATTAGGCCGGAAGATGCGAAGTTGGCTAGTATTCGAGACTGGACACGACCTCAGACCGTCACTGAGGTCAGATCTTTCTTAGGAATGTGTGGCTACTATAGAAATTTCGTAAAGAACTATTCCACAGGCGCCTCTCCTTTGACAGATCTAACTCGACTTGACACGCCGTGGGACTGGAGTGATGAGTGGGTATTTTCAAACGACTGAAGCATGCACTCATGAATCATGAGGTTCTCATGGTGCCCGATCCTCAAAAGCCATTCATAGTGACCACTGACGCAAGCCAATATGACATTGGCGCAGTGCTCGCTCAGCAGGATGGGAAGAAGTTGAGACCGATTGAGTACATGAGCAAGAAAATGCCATCGAAGAAATTGGCAAAGTCCACCTATGAAAGGGAACTCTATGCTCCCTACAAGGCACTTGTCCATTGGAGACATTTTCTGTTGGGACGGTTCTTCTACTTGAGAACTGACCATCAGACGCTCAAATGGATCAAGACTCAACCAACTCTCCCTGATGCACTCAAGCGATGGATTGAAGTCATAGATCAGTATGACTTCAAGCTAGAGTATCTGAAGGGAGAGTACAACAAGGTTGCAGATGCGCTATCACGTAGAGAAGACTACCTAGGGGCGCTAGTTTCTGGCTTTGGTATATCTGAAGAAGTAACTCAATCGTTGGTGGGAGCCTATCAGGAAGACCCTGTCACGATGGACATCATACGCAAACTTCAGGCAAAAGACAAGGCCACGGAAAATGAGTTCGTGATGGTGGATCGGCTTCTCTATCTTGATAAGGCTAGAGTTAAAAGGTTAGTCGTTCCATGTAGTGAACGTTTGCGTAGCTTATTTCTAGGAGAATGTAATGACGCAACCGGACACTTTGGCTACAAAAAGACGAGTGCCAATCTAGTACAACGATTTTGGTGGCCTGGAATGCTAGATGACGCAAAGAAGTATGTAGAGACCTGTCAGGTCTGTCAGTGGGACAAGCCGCGAGCTCAAGCACCGCTTGGGTTGTTGAAGCCCTTACCTATCCCCACTGGTCCAGGACAGTGTTTCCATGGATTTCATGGACACCCTGGTGACCAGTAAGAGTGGCAAGAGGCACATCTTCGTCATCATCGATCGATTCACCAAGTACGCTAGACTAGTTGCCATGCCAGAGACCGCAAGGACTGACCACGTCATCAAGTTGTTTATGGACAATTGGGTGCGTGATTTTGGACTTCCAAAGTCAATCGTTAGTGACAGAGTTGTTCGATTTACAAGTGAGTTGTGGAAGAAGACTGCTGAGCAGATGGGCAATCAACTTCAGATGACTTCAGGGAATCATCCCGAAGCCAACGGACAGGCCGAGCAAATGAACAGAGTTGTACAGCACTTGTTGAGGCATTACATCAAGCCCAGCCAGGATGATTGGGATGAGAAGTTGCCTCTCATCGCCAGCCTGTACGACAATGTTGTACACAGCAGTACCGGCGTCAGTCCTAATCAGTTGCACTTCGGATGGAAGCCTAGATCAGCTCTAGACTTCCTCCTGCCTGAAAACCGACCCTCTGCAACTCCAGGCACACTTGAGTATGGTGTGCAGTATGAGAACTTGCTACAGCAAGTTGTCGAGCACATCAAGAAAGCTCAGCAAGCAATGATTGCTTCTGAGAACAAACATCGTCGACAGTCCTCATTTCAAGTAGGGGGACGTGTCTGGGTCAAGGCTAGTGAGCTAGGACAGGAATTCGGTATCTCTAGAAAACTAATGCCTCAGTATTTTGGTCCCTGGGAAGTCCTGGATATAGTGGGGGATGGGATGGATGGTCCCACATATGTTATTCGTATCCCTGGTCACCTGCGCACTCACCCTGTCTTTCATGCCTCAAAGCTTGCACCTTTTGCTGAGACAGATCAATTCCCTTCAAGGAGATCGATGCTGCCCCCAACCATGGATGGTCAAGTGGACATCGACGACATTGTGGATCACAGAGATCTGCCTGTTTCAAAGCCACTGGGTAGAGGAAGACCTCCAAAACCCAAGCGGGAGTATCGCGTCAGATTCAGGCATTATACGGATCCAAAGGAAGATCGGTGGTTCACCAGAGAGGAGCTGATTGACACAGCTCCTCAAGTGGTGGCAAAATATGAAAGAATGTTAAAAGGGAAGGCACCTGCCAAGTAAGCATCTCAGCGGACTTTCGAAGCTAAGGGGGATGGAATGTGAGGATTGAGCCCTCGATAAGGGGCCTTGCCATGATGTACATGTTCTGGGCTAAGGCCCAAGCAAGCCTTGTCCCCGCCCTAAGTGAAGGCGGGCCAGTAAATCAACAAGAACCCTTTGTGCAAACATTTCACAAAGTGGGGTCCATACAGTTGCAGCACGCCAGTTGGTTGGAGTGCACCGAGTCTCGGATCTCTGCAAATGCAGAAATCCCAGGGCCCCTAAGTTAGTTAGGCCCTGGGCACATAAACGTGAGGCCGACAATGCATGCTGAATATAGAGGCCGAAAATGCCAATGGGAAACCGGTCCACTATATGAATCTGGACGCAGGCCTTGATGAAAGAGGCGCAATTGCATCTCCTGGGCCCCAACCGCATTGGGCCTGGGTACAGGTACTGGGGCCCAGTCGCAGGCTCAACGGAGGCCGCCCACACGCAACACTGGCATATAGGTAGGGAGTGCAGGTGGGCAGGGATCTTGGCCATTGCGGGCAATGCCAGCACGCTGCGCATTTGCGAGGTGCTGAGTTGCGCTAGGCTGAGGTGAGTCAGGCAAGCGCTAAGCGGTAGAGCGCTGCCTGGGCGCAGGGCGCTGACGGCCATAGCAGGGCTGCCTGTGGGCGCAGAGGAGGAAGGGCGAAGGTGGTTCTTCGGAGGTGAAGGGCGCTGTGTGGGATAACAAGGGAGAGTGAGGGAGAAGAGTGAGACGTACCTGGTGGAGAGGGAGGTCGGCATTGGTGTTGGTCGTCAAATTGTCTGGTTGCTTTCATGTTGTAGTTGTAGTGATAGGCTGTAGAGAAGGTAGGGCGCCTGGCGCCATTCAAGAGAGAGAGCTACATTGGGTTATGCAGTTGGTGTTGCCCGATTGGGCTTGGACATTGACTCACGATTCTTCTGTATCGTTCTCAAATGGATGGTTACTCAGTTCCATTGTGCTATCTGCTCTTGCTTTGACTACTTGGACTTCAGTGTGATTTTGCAATTTGGATGTCTGTGCTTCGTCCACATTCATGTTCCTTGCATCGGGGATGAAAACGAAAAAAAAAATGTGAAAACATTTCCTTGGGGAATCCTTGGGGTGTCCTTGGGCTACAGCCATTTGATGGCATTGGTCCCTTGGAGGTCAAGGATCCGAGACAGTCGGATCGGTGAGGGCACCCGTCGTCGGCAAGAAATTTGCGTCGGCTGGTCCATTGGAGTTCCTACCGGGCAGCGCACGGACATCTCGGGTCTTCAACATCCGGCTTCCAGGAACCTTACGCCAACGGTAACCGTTGATGGCCGGTCGGCCCCCGCGGACGTCGTCGACCAGTGTTCTCCCTCGCAGTGCGTGCCGCCAAACTTAAAGGGGTCGAACAGTCGACAAATTTGAATACTTCAGCCGACCCCCCTTGCTCTGATTGCCCAATGTATTCTGCGACGAAAAACGTTACAAGGCGTTTGTCCCATGCTGCGGTCTGTCGTTTGCAGCCCTCTTCATTGCCGTTTGCTGGAGGTGTATCGTTGTCGTCTACCTACTGCCCTTCCTGACTTGCCTTTCATGGCCGACGTCTTTCGAAGGTTGCCGCTGCTGCTCTTGGTCATCCTTTTGCTTGTCCTTGTCATCTTCTTCCGCATTTGCATCCTTGGCAGGGTGTCTGGACGTACACGTAAGAGGCGGTCTGCGAAGAAGGACGTCGGCATGGACGGGCGGCAGGCAAAGAGCAGGTCTTCAGTGGACCACTCCAGAAACCACCGCGCAGGCCACGACCCGACTCGCAGTGCAAGGGCGTACGACCCGTTAGAGTATGTGTGTCGTATGCTGTCCTCTACCGTCTACTCCCTTCATCGTCACCATTCGGTGGACCTTCACCATCGTCGTAGAATTACGGCCCTATCGTACGTGTTGTTGATGAACGACCTCTATAATTGAAGGTTGCCACTGTTGCTCCTAATCACGATTTTGCTTGCCGTGGTCCTCCTGTTCCACGAGTGCTTCCTCTATCGTTGATGCTCAACCTCTATCGAAGGCCTCCAACAGAGAAGACGAGGGATCGACACCGATTGCAATCAACATCGACATCGGCAGCGCATCCCGCGGGTGTTCGTCCACATTGGATGCAATCGCCATCGCCCGAAAGACGCATGATGACATACACAGCTTCTCCCAGAAGTACTCCATCGCATCATCGCATTGTCTGAGATCCTCCCACGCCTCCCCCGTCCTCCTTTTCATCCACCACCTCGGCATCGCTCGTGGAAAAACACTCCAACCCATGGCGCAACAAACCTCAACTCCAGCTTCGGTGATGGCCACCGTATCCAGCCCTTCGACCGGGACTTGATGAAGCGTCTTCCTCCTCCATGCGTGGATCTGCACTCTCATTCTTCCCAATGCCCTCTCCTGCTGACAACGAAAGAGCACGGTCGTCACGGTTGCCGCCACGGCCATCTTCTCGATCGTCGTCAACTTCGCACGTCCGTCGTCGCTGCCACCCTCCATCAGCACGTGTGTTGCAATGCTCATGAACCACGAGAATACAACAGCCTACCAACTCGCCACGACCACAGTAACCTCAGCGCCAAGCCCCCGACGATGTTCCCCGCGTGTGCTTGACTCAACACATAGGTGCGGCGGCATGCAGAGGCGATGGCGATGGACCTTCGCGGGGCGCTCACAAATTCGAGACGACGTACGGGAATCCAGTGCGCCGCTGCAAATGCTCGTTTCCACCGTCACAGATATGGATGCCACCTGCCCCACGTCGCCGTCTTGACGTCCAACACCCATTTGAAATTGATTTTCGAACGGGGAGGTCCATTGCTTTTTAAAAGTTTTTTTTTTTCGGTCGGCAGCGCCTTTCAAAATTCCCCGCCTTCGGCAGCTGGACCACACCGTAGCAAGACGGACATCACCCAATGGACCAAGGCATTGGCACCCCCCGCGACTGACTATAATATTATGAAAATGGCCGGCGGCGGCCGAAAGGAATCATCCTTGGGAGACCACCCCAATGATAGGTGGAACGACGGCGGGAATTTCCTTCAAAACCCCCAAGGAAACTTCCTTGGGCCTCGAGGACGCCCCAAGGAGTGTCTAACGAGCCCCATACTCGTAAACCCCTCCACCATATTCCTCCACTCAGATCAATCCCCACCACTCAAAGGTTTTGAACTCTTCCTGTTTTCGCTAATCAGAAAAAGCACCCTATGGACCGTCCATATGGGTAAGACGGTGCCACCTCACCCTCGCCGACCACCACGTCCCCTCAGAAACAGGTCCTTATGGTCCTGGCTCCATATCCATTCCGGGGAGCGTCAGCCCGGTTCCTTTCCACCGGCAAGTCAAGAGTTGGATTACATGTTGAACACTCTCACACTTCCTTCCGTCCGGCCGAAGGAACCCTGACCAGCATTGATTGCTCCTGTTCAGGAGGACTGACTATCAGCTTGCCCTACCCCTTTTCCTCTCAGAATCCATCGTGGTTCTGTCGAATATAAGGTGTGACACAAGAAAATGGGTGAGTTGTCTGTCGTGCTGAGACTACAGTCACAATTTGACCTTCACAGGGTTGTATTCCTTGCAGTCTCTGTACTGTGCCATTTCTTCCACGTCAGCTTGTTGTCTGGCGCTGGTCTGATTTTCATGACTAACATCACCTCCCTCCATCTGCACCCAACCTCAGTCTTCGCCATCCTCAGCAATAGGGTCCACATTTCTTCCCTCGCCATCTTTGGTCCACAAAGCGAGCTTCCTAAGCAGGTGGAACCAGACTTCTTTGTCGTCTCTGAGGTCATTTCGGGTGTTAGAAAGGAACAGGATGCTCTGGGTGGTGGTGGAAGGGGGCGGTGATGAGAATAGGAGGGACCATAGTTCTCGGACCCTATTCCATATCCAAGCTGCTTCAGTGCAGTACAGGAGGCAGTGGGGTATGTCTTCTGGTCTATTATCGTCGCGCATAACGCATAGTTCCGAACTGTGGGGGTCCATGTGTTTCCTCCTCTTGTGGATCCACTGGTTGACAGGCGGAGATGCATGGGCTACGAGCCACTGTATGCTTTCGATCTTGGCTGGTCTGACGACCAGGAGATGGAGATGGGGTCCGTTGGTTCTAGGTTCAGGGTCTCCCTCCATTATCTTTGAGGTTGGGGTCTGGGTCTGTGGCCTGTAGGCCAAAGTCGTATCCAAATTTTACATCGTATTCGGATGTCGTTCTCGTTCTCCCAGTCTTAGCCTGTTTCCAGATCCATTCATTCGGGTCGAATTCGAGGTCTGAAATGCTGAGATCTGGCTGGAAGATTATCCAGGGCTTAATCTTTGGGACCCTCACTTTCCTCAGGAGGAAGGATTCTTTCCTTTTTTTTTTGGTGGGGAGCCTCACCTGCTGGAAATCGGATCCAGCGACTGATATTCAGAAAGTAACTTTAGTGATGCCGCCTGCCAGCATTCATTGCTCGGGACACCCGAGGATTGACTGAGCAGGTCATTTGAGAGGGGAGAACCTCTTCGCCTGATGTCAGGCGCCAGATAACTACTGCTATACCCAGTTTCCCCTCCCCTCCTCCCTTTCCTCTCCCACTGTATTCTTCTCTCGCCTGTTCCCTCTCTCTTTTGGTAGACGCCTGTGGGCCCTGGCCATTCTGCAGCTTCAGGACTCCTTTTTACTCGCCCCGACTCAACCCCTGGGGGGCACCAGGGGATTGCCGGTTGTCTGTACAGACAGATGCCAGGTAACTGCTGCTATGTACTTCCTGCCTCCCTTTCCGCTCCCTATATGTTCTTCTCCTGGCCGCTCCCTCTCACCTCTGGTGGTCGCTTGTGTGCCCGTGGCTCTTCTGCAACTTATGGGCTTCCTTTCGCTCCTCCCGACTTGTCCCTTATCGGTTGACTTTGCCGTCTGAAGTCGTTCACTCCTCCATGATTGTCTGTTACCCGATCCCTCTTAATGGCCACACCATGCATTTTCAACCATTGCCAAGGTGCTTGGGGGGAAGGGGTCCGGGAAGTCTTGTGGGGGGCGGAGGGGTGTCAGGTGGTCTAAATCTGTCCAATTATTGAAGACTAGCACATAGTCCCTATGCAGTGCCACACCATCTCTTCTGTTCTTACCTTTTTTTACTTGACCGATGCTATCCAT